TCAGTGGAACACTTTGAATGCCAAAGTAAAATCCAGCGGAATGCTTTGAATGTCAAAGTAAAAGTCAGTGGAACACTTTGAATGCCAAAGTAAAATCCAGTGGAATGCTTTGAATGCAAAGTAAAAGTCAGTGGAACACTTTGAATGCCAAAGTAAAATCCAGTAGAATGCTTTGAATGCCAAAGTAAAAGTAAGTGGAATGCTTTGAATGCCAAAGTAAAAGTCAGTGGAACACTTTGAATGTCAAAGTAAAAGTCAGCGGAATGCTTTGAATGTCAAAGTAAAAGTCAGTGGAATGCTTCGAATGCCAAAGTAAAACCCAGTGGAATGCTTTGAATGTCAAAGTAAAAGTCAGTGAAATGCTTTGAATGCCAAAGTAAAAGTCAGTAGAATGCTTTGAATGCCAAAGTAAAAGTCGGTGAAACACATTAAATGTGAAAGTAAAAGTCAGTGGAACATTTTGAATGCCAAAGTAAAATCCAGTGGTATGCTTTGAATGTCAAAGTAAAAGTCACTGGAATGCTTTGAATGCCAAAGTAAAATCCAGTAGAATGCTTTGAATGCCAAAGTAAAAGTCAATGGAATGCTTTGAATGCCAAAGTAAAAGTCAGTGGAACACTTTGAATGTGAAAGTAAAAGTCGCTGGAATGCTTCGAATGCCAAAGTAAAACCCAGTGGAATGCTTTGAATGTCAAAGTAAAAGTCAGTGAAATGCTTTGAATGTCAAAGTAAAAGTCAGTGAAATGCTTCGAATGCCAAAGTAAAACCCAGTGGAATGCTTTGAATGTCAAAGTAAAAGTCAGTGGAATGCTTTGAATGTCAAAGTAAAAGTCAGTGGAACATTTTGAATGCCAAAGTAAGACCTCACAATGAATATTCATTTCCGATCTTCTTCGCCGTCTTCCTCATCTGACATCATAAGGTCCACAACTTTCGTCACCATCTCCCATATCTCTTGTTCTTCCTCTTTAACCTCTTTTCCCGACATTCCGTCAGCTGCAATGATAGAAATGTTATTTATAACTAATGCTATATTTATTATTACATTTGTACTGCTATTTTAACAAGCTTGAATAAAACGAATTCAAAATTATAAAAACTATAAATTAACACTTACTCATCTCCTCCTTGGTTCTTTATTTGTTTTTTCCAAGCTGTATAAAAACACTCTCGTCTTTCTCTGTCATTTTCTGGTAACAGTACCTAAAATAGAATATGTAACAGTTTAATTGAATAAAAAAAGGTGTTGTATTATAATGTTTGGTGACCTGGACAGTTTTTACTCAATATATTACCGACTCAACAGTGGGCAATGAGATTCAAACCTACCTCCCGCTCGAAATCAAAACGTGCTAATCATTGTAGTAATAACTTATGTATTTATATTTAAAATTATAGGGGTGAAAAATGTGTTAAGAAAACGCAAGCCAATCACCAAGAATTAAAAATGCACGCGAGCTGTAGCTGGAACAAACGTTGACACATTCAAGAAAAAAAAAAAATATAAATAAGACAGCGTGAAAAAAAATTAATTGCAATGGTCATATATAAATATTATGCCACATAAAACTGTTGTTAAAATGCACGTTGGTATGAAGTATTAGTGCTATATGACTACATCCACCCACACTTGCCAGTAGAAGACAAAAGATTTTTTCGTTAGTGTGGGGAAACGTTGGTCAGCGTGGGGGGGGGGGCAGGTGTTAATCCGAAAATTCATTGTCTGTTCTTGTTTGTGATTGGTTCAGGCAACGTTTGAGGATCGCGTCGTAGCTCCTTCGTTGGTAGTGGGAGCGTGTAAATGGCGAGAGCCGGGTTACCACGAAAAGTTGGGTTACCGCTATTGCCATTTATGCACTACCATATTTTATTTAATAAAAAAATAAAACAAGAGACTGTATGCAAGTCTAACGCCCACATTACACTAGCCTGTATCGGTTAATTGCTGAACAGCCTGAGCCCT